CCAGCGAACCATTTTAGTGACAGCCCACTCGCTGAAAGGTGAAAGATTTCTTTGGACCACGGAACCTGTGCCCACAGTTGATATCATCTCACTATCAGTCAGTAGGGGCCACTATCGAAATGTCGGAAAGGCAGGAATGAGCAGGGCACATCATTGGTTGGGAATTTTAGTCGACTCTATAGGACCCCTCCCCCCAGCCTTCTGTCCTTCCTCATCGAACCGAGATCGAACCGAGCCGTCGAATGTGGAAAGGGGGGGGGGGGTAAATAGGTAAATAGCACATGTGAAACAGGAAAAGCCGCGAGACAATACGACCCCCCTCCCAAAAATGATCAAATACGACCCCCCCTCCCTTTACAACGTCCATGAAGCGAGAAAAATCAACTATCAAAATATTCTCAGCCCAAATACGACCCCCCTCCTGGCGACCAAATACGACCCCCCCTATTGGGGATTCCCCAACAACGATGTGCCCTGGGAATGAGCCCGTCTCTGGCTGACTTTGTCCACCAGTAGTGACCGCTTTAGGAAGAAAACAACCACTTGCGAAAACGCAGCGCATCTTTCTTGGCAGCACTCCCACTAATGTCGACGATATCAACTGCAGTACGCACCATCTCGAGCCGGAAGTGGGAATATAATTGTTCTAGAGTTCCTGTACAGATTTAATGGCGGATTTCTGATCACTGACGTCTACATTTACATTCTAGAATATTGGATCGTACCTCTATAAAAACCGAGCGCACCCATTCTGGCATACGATGCGTCGTTGGGCTGCGGAAGTAAACGTTGATAATAACAATCGTAATCAATATTGTAATTACGTTGAGTACAAAAGTGAGCAGCAGGTACCTAAATAACCAGGTTAGCGCTTTGTCGTCGTCCTCCAACTCATGTGCGTGAAATCACTTAACTTCCAGGTGAGTTTTCTTAATGGATTCGTATTCACATCCAGGTGAATTTTCTCATTAGATTCGAATCTATAGGTAAACCTTGAAAATGGGTCACTTTCCAGAGGAACTATAAAATAAACTCCAGCAGCACACGATCCGCAAGAGTTCCGCTACTGGACATATGCAGGGGGGGGGGAAGACACTTTTCTTCCTCGACTTTCAAGGCGATATAAGTTACACTTTATTAATTCTGATTGGACATTTCCACCACCATGTTCAACAACACATTGTACACTATCACGATACTCCGCCACAGCCTTCTGGACGAGCGCCATCGAGAGATTCTGCCACGCGACCGTGATTCGGTGCCTGAGTTCAGCGAGGTCGTTGATTTCTCCGCCACTGTAGACCACCCTGTTGAGCTCCGCTCGAACCCGGTAATCGAGGGGTTTAGGTCAGGTGACACACTTAGATATTCCATCTTCTT